GGACACATTTAGGATATGTTTGGGTCACCTGGGTGGTCACTTGTCCTTTTTTGAGCCGTTCCCATCAGATTTCCGAGGGGTTCGCCCCCTCCCGCCCCATTCCCGGGGGGATCCCCGAGCACGAGCGGGGTCCCCCTCTGCTGTCACCCCCCAGCCTGTCCCCTGTCCCCAAAAAACCCCCTCCCCGAGGTCCCGCACTCACCATCTGCCCAGGAGCTCCGTTCTCTCCGGGGCTGCCGGGCTCTCCCTAAAAGGAAGGACACCGTGAGCCCGTGCAGGGGGGAGGGGACAGCGGGGACAGACAGCGGGGACATCGCCGGCACGCGGGGGTGGCACTGCCACCGCTCCTCACCTTGGGGCCAGCAGGTCCAGGCTCACCCTTGGCACCATCCAGACCRCTGAAACCCTGAGGGGTGCGACAGAAATGGGGTGAGGGGTGGGGGAGGGTCAGGAGGGGACCCTCGGTGAGGACACGGGTCCCTCAATGTCCCCTGAATGTCACCAGCGCGGGACAGGGGGACTCACTCGGTGTCCCTTCATGCCTGGCAGGCCGGCGGTTCCGGGGAGACCTCGGGCACCCTGGGGGGAACAGGAGGAGGTGACGGGGGTGCCGGGAGGGCTGTCCCCACGCCAGATGRTGTCCCCAAGGGAGGGGACAGCTGGCGGTGTGTCCCCTCGTGTGTCTCACCTGAGGGCCGGGGGGACCCCGTTCTCCGGGGCGGCCGGGCTTGCCAGCTTCACCCTGGGGACAAGGACAGCGCGTTGGTGGCACATCCCCGAGTCTGGCAGCTCCTGGTCACCTGGATGGGGGTGGCAGGGCCACCAGGAGCCAGGCTGGGGAGGGGACACCATGGACAGGCCACTTACGTCATCTCCGTTCTTGCCAGGGGGGCCAGCGGGACCTCGGGGACCCATGGGACCCTAAGAGAGAGGGAGGGCAGGGATGAGGGGGCTGGGGGTGACAGCTGTCCCTTGTCACCCGCTCAGGGCGGAGCCAGGCTCCCGTGTGTCACCTGTCACCCTGGACACAGCCACGCCCTGCTCCCGTGTGTCCCTTGTCACCCTGGGCACAGCCAGGGACAGGGACGGTGTGTCACCTGTCACCCTGGGCACAGCCAGGCCCTGCTCCCATGTGTCCCTTGTCACCCTGCCACCCTGCCACCTCTCCAGGACACAGCCACGCCCTGCTCCCGTGTGTCCCCTGTCACCCTGCCACCCTGCCACCCACCCAGGACACAGCCATGCCCTGCTCCCGTGTGTCCCCTGTCACCCAGGACACAGCCAGGCTCCTGTGTGTCCCCTGTCACCCTGTCACCCTGCCACCCGCCCAGGCTGGGCACAGCAGCGTTGTCCCCTTCCCCAGGGGACAAGGGCTGCAGCAGCAGGTGACAGCACTCACAGAAGCACCGGGCTCTCCAGGTTCACCAGGGGGACCTTGGAAACCTTGAGGACCCTGTGGGGAAAAAAAAAAATAAAGGAAAAAAAAAAGAAATGGGTCAGAAAGTGAGAAGTTTGGGTCTGGATTCCCCAGTGGCGGTGGCGCTGTCCCCACCCCCTGTGGTGGCACCAGGATGTTGTCCCCGCGTGCTTCCGGAGGTGTCGGGATGGGTGAGACACACCCCGACTGTCCCCACCACCACCCCAGAGGGGCCCTGGGGGCTGTTTGTCCCCAAAACAAGGAGAGGTGACACTCACGGGAGCACCGGGAGGGCCGGGGAGACCGCGGGGACCGGCGGGGCCCTGGAGAGAGCAGAGAGAGTCGTGAGTGGGTGTCCTGTCACCTGTCACCTGTCATCTGTCACCTGTCACCATCACCACCCCACTGCTGTACCCACTGGGCCCTGCTGCCTCCTCACCTCCACCCCATCAGTGTCCCAAAGCCACCCCATGCCTGTCCCCATTGCCACCCCATCCCTGTCCCTATTGCCACCCCCTCCCTATTGCCACCCCAACCCTGTCCCCATCGCCCCCCCATCTGTGTCACCATTGCCATCCCATCCCTGTCCCTATTGCCACCCTATCCCTGTCCCTATCACCCCCATCACTGTCCCAAAGCCACCCCATGCCTGTCCCCATCACCCCCCATCCCTGTCACCGTTGCCACCCCATCCCTCTCCATTCCTTGTCCCCATTGCCATCCCATTACTGTCCCCATTGCCATCCTGTCCCCATTGCCATGTCCCATTGTTTTTCCCCTATTGCCTGTCTCCATTGCCACCCCAACACCATGTCTCTGTTCCCATACATTCCCTGTCCCCATTGCCACCCTAATCCTGTCCCCATC